CTCCAAGACGGCCCCGAAGCGCCCTAAGAGGGTCCCCCGTTGGCCCAGAAAGGCCCCTAAGACGGCTCCCGACGGCGTCAGAAGTGCCAGGAACCCACCAAGATGGCCGAAGTTGACTCGAAGCTGGCCCAAGACGGCCCAAGAGGCCCCCAAGAGGGCCTCCAGGAAGGCCAGACGAGGCCAAAAACATAGATGTTCCTGAGGTTTTGGACGGATTCTGACATTTCCTTCTTTTCGGCCTTCCGACGGCCCAAGACGGCCCAAGAGCCCCCAAAGATCGCCGAAAGATCGCTCAAGAGGCCTCCAAGACGGCCACGATGACCTCCAAGATGCCCACGTGCTCCCCGAAGGCTCTCCAAACCCATTCGGGGAACACATGGTCCGATGGCTTGGCAGGTCTGGCCTCAACGTTCGGCCACATAGGCGCTTCCAAAAAGGCAGGGGGGCGGCGGTGATTCGCCGTAGGCGTCTTAGATAAGCAATGCAGTGCAAGCGACGGGGTGCAAGCACTGTGGTGCAACCTGAGAGGCTAGACCACATGCGAACCCTACCCCTGCCCCCCACGATTTCTGAGGGGGAGGGTGGGGCTCACTCTGATTCCCTACCCCTACCCCTACCCCCCACGATTCTGATTTCTGAGGTCGAAGTGAACCCCACCCTCCCCCTCAGAAGTCGTGGGGGGTAGGGGCAGGGTTCGCGTGTGGCCCCCGGGCGGTGCACCGTGCGTGGTGCAGGGTATTCGGTGCAAGCTGCGTGGCGCAAGCTCCGTTGTGCAAACCATGTGCTGCTATCCGTGTGGTGGGCACCGGCCGGATCCACGGACCCCCCCCCCCCGACCTCGGGGTGCCCCCCCCAGAGCGCGGGGCGCCCACGCGGTGCCCGCGGTCGGGCAGCAGCTGGGCAGCAGCCGCAACCCGAGGGTACCCATGTGGAGTTCCTTACGATCGCGAACTGAACGCTCCTAAGTTTCGGTCGGGCCTGTCCCCCTCCAGGGGGTCTTGGGCGAAAAATAAAAAATGAAAATAAAAAATGCTAGAACCATGCGCCCGCAGTGTTCAAGCAGGGTAAAACAAATCGTCCCCAGACTATGTTTTTGACTCCAGTCGGGGCGTTGACCTAAGGAACCCTAAATAAGGAAGGAGGCCCCTTTTTCCAAAAGGTAAACTTCGATGTCCCATGAAAAACCTCAGGAAAACCCTAGGCACTGTAGAACAATCAAGGAACACCAAGCCCCTCCCCATCGAAAAGGGTTCCTTCTTCAGCGCCCCGACTGTAAGTTGGAACCTCCCCCCTGTAGAGGGACAGCCCCGACTTACTCCTACGTGCCAGCGCTGTTTGGGGACCCTGTCGCCGCAGCACGGCAGGAGGCAGCCCTTGCGGGCGCCGCGCAGAAGTCGGAGGAGGGCGCACGGCGGACGAGCTACCGAGATGCAACGGAGGGCGGACGCGGGAAGGCAGGGCGGCCGCGAAGGAGAGGGGGGGGGGAACCGAGGATTCACCGCGGGACAGAAATCACGATGAGCGCGCAACTGGCCATCGCTCGGACGTCCATGTCCTGTGCTTTTTTGTCGGTTTCGTGCGTGGTTTTTTTCGCCGAATGCTCAAAGACGCTCCTCGATGGTCCTCGCCGAAGGAAAAATGCACACGCCCGAGCGATGCCCAGGGGAAGGCACGGCGGCCGCGAAGGACAGGGGGGGGAACCGAGGATTCACCGCGGGACAGAAATCACGATGAGCGCGCAACGGCGCGGCCAGTCAGGGCTGAAGCGACCTGGCACTGGGCGCAGGACGGCATCACGGCCACACCCAGGGACCGACGCCAAGGCTGCGGGCGCAGGAAGCATGGCTATGGTGCCGGCTCCAGTGAGGGAAAGCCAGACCAAGTGCTAGCACTTCTCCACCAAGAAGATCGAAGACGAATCGAAGGCTTGCCCACCTACCCGACGGCTCAGGGCGTCGTCCAGCCAACCTTGCTTGAACCTGCTCGGGACCGTTGCGATCCGCCCAGGCCTGCCGCATCCCGTTGAGCCCCCAGTCAAGACCCGAGTGTCAATGTCGAGACGGCCACCAGCACAATCAAGCATAAGAGTACGGTTGCAAGGTGTAAGGATGCAACATCCTTGAATCGAATGAGCAAGAACGGGCCGAGAAGGCAAGAGGTATACTCGACATGCAAAGATGCAATGGCAACCACAGGAGCGTGGCTGACTGCGCGATCGAGGGGCAAGGACTTTGGACCAGCGATTAGCGGGCGAACGGCGCGGCCGCCGACGTCTCAGCAAAGTGCCGACCTAGTGAGGGGGCCGCTTGCGATTGTAGCCGTTTGCGATTGGAACCCGAACTGAGTATGAGCTACATTGTTCTACTGTGGGGGCGGCTCAGGCCCGCCAACTCGGCCAAGGTCTCGATCTGCCGCGACCCCAGCAGAAGGCCAACACCTCGCCAGCGAAGCTACATCCCACGAGCCCTCTGGGCGGAGGCGGTCTGATGAGGTTCCTCGTCCTCCTCCTCCTCCTCCTCCTCCTCCTCCTCCTTCTCCTCCTCCTCCTCCTCCTCCTCCTCCCCCTCCTCCTCATCCTCCTCCTCCTCCTCCTCCTCCTCCTCTTCTTGGTTTATAGTTCCCCCCTTTCCCCTGCCCTGTCTGGACGGGGCGGGGCCCGAGTGGTGTCAGAGCGCCCACGGCGACGACAGGAGGGCTCCCGACGGTCCAAAATGGCCTCCATTACTGCTCAAACTATTCCCCTCCTCCTTCCCCTCCTCCTCCTCCTCCTCCGCCTCCTCCTCCCCCTCCTCCTCCGCCCCCTCCTCCTCCTCGTTCCCCTCCTCCTCCTCCTCCTCCTCGTCCTCCTCCTCCTCCTCTTTCTCCTCTCCTCCTCCTCCTCCTCCTCCTCCTCCTCCTCCTCCTCCTCCTCCTCGTTGCACGATCGATTCCGGCATGCCTCCGAGAGGCCCCGAGACGGCTCCAAGTGCTTTCGGTCGGAAACTCCCCAGGTCCGGCCCAAGATGGTGCACGATGGATTCCGACTTGCCTCGTGACTGTTTTCTGATTCGGCGCTTCGACACTGGGCGGAAGAGAGAGAGAGGGGAAGGGGGGGGTCTGACCCCGAACCTTAGCTTAGCGCGACGGTTTGCAACAGTGCGTCCTATCGGGGAGGCTCCACCTGCTCGAAAAAGGCGCCAAAAACAGCCAAGATCTACTCCACTGGGAGGGGGGGGGGAGGGGGGCGGCGGGGGCCCGCCCATCGGCAAAACAATGAATAAGAAACGATCACCTCCGAGAGGCCCTAAGAGGGACACGGCACGGCGCCAAGTGCTCTCGGTCGGAACCTCCCCAGGACTGGCCCGAGAAGCGCAAATCAGTGAATATGTGTTGCAAGGTGTTTCGCCTTCTCGCCCTTTCGCTTCAGATGGGCCTGTGAGGCTCCATGATGGTGTCAAGATGGCCCGAGAGAGCCCCTAGAGTTGCACCCGAGGGCCCCAAGATGCCTTTCTCTGAGGCTGAAGGTCACAACCACGAGGGCCTCAAGACACCCTCAAAGAGCCAACAAAGGGCTCCAAAATCCACCCAAAGAAGCCAAAGAGGGCCCCAAGACCCGCCCCAAGCAGGCCCAGAGAGGCTCCCCGAAGTTGTCTGACCTCGAGGTCCGCCATGACACCCGTTGGCCGACGGAGATGAGGCAGCGCAGCGGGAAGGGATGGGGCAGGGGCAGGATGTCAGATATGGCGCGAGCTCACCAAGCTGGATGTGTGACGACGACGACGACGACAAAGACGAAAACGACGACGACACCATCGATGGCGCCCCTCCACTACGGGCGACCATACGTCCCTCCTCCAGACGGTTGCCCAGGCACTGTCTCCGGCGGGGAGGCCCGGAGCGTCCAGAACTGCTCCCTGCAGGTGCGCCGAGCTGCACAAGACGGGTGCCTCTGCGCACGCCCGGCGCCATGTCTCGGCGGCGAGCGAACGGGGGGGGAACCGAGAACTCGGAAATCCCCCGGCCTGAGAAGTTTCGTGAGCCTTCCGCGAAGACGCAGGAAACTTCTGAGAAGGCGCGAGGGCTTCTGAGAAATCCTGCCGCCTGCTCAGAATGCCTTATCCTTCTCGCTTCCCCCCCTCGCTCGCCGCGGCATTTTGGAGGAGGGAAGGGATTCTTGGATCGCGACGCTGGTGGAGCTGAGAGCCTGTGAGCAGAGGCTCGCACTGCAGCCAGCAGAATATGCATGGAGACGGAAGAGTTCTGCACGGGCGCCACGTAGGCAGGCACGGTAAGAAGGAGCCTCAGCGACGAAACCGACGGGACGTGGGGCCCCGAAGCGCCGAGGCTGGAGACGGAGCCCCTCTAGCTCATAGCCACCACTCCCAGCTCTCCGAACACTCCCTCCCCCTCCTCCTCCTCCTCCTCTTCCTCCTCCTCCTCCTCCCTCTCCCTCTTCCTCCACCTCCTCCTCCTCCTCCTGCTCCTCCACCTCCTCCTCCTCCCTCCCCCCTCCACATCGAGCAGCTCGGCAGACATCGGCTCAAGTTGTCGACAGCTCGCCCCAGGGCAGACAGACTGGCGGGCGAGCTCATACAGGAACGACCGCTGTGGCTTGGGCGCTCGGCCACTTGGGAGGCCGCTATGTTGCTGCGGAACGCAGCAACTATGAAGACGGTGGCGCAATTGGCGCATGTTCGCGCGGAAAAGAAAAGCATTGAAGCCCAATGTTCCTATGTTGGTACCTAGGTGTCCGACTAGTCTTAAGCCGTCGTGACCGGGCATGGGTGGAGAAACGCGCGTCATGGCTAGGAATACGACAAACGAATCCCCGTACTGCCGACAGGCTTTAAATCTAAATATTTTCAATGCGTGTACATGTAAGCCAGAACCCATGAGGGCGTGTGGCTCAGAGGACCGAATCCCCTGCTAAATACTGCGTTCGAATTTCTGCATGCGCTCGCTTTCCGCATACGACCAATGTGATCCTACCGTCGTCACTGCGGGCAAACGCCCAGCCTCGTTCACATCTTCCACTCGGCGAAGAAGTCATTGCCCTTGTCGTCCACGATGATGAAGGCGGGGAAATCCTCAACCTCGATGCGCCACACCGCCTCCATGCCGAGCTCCTCGTACTCGACCACTTCCACCTTCTTGATCGCGTTCTCCGCGAGGTTGGCCGCCGCACCGCCGACGCTGCCCAAATAGAAGCCGCCGTTCTTCTTGCAGGAATCCGTGACGCCCTTGGCCCTGTTGCCCTTGGCCAGGGTGATCATGGAGTAGCCCCGCTCCTGGAACACTGGCACGTACGTGTCCATGCGGCCCGCGGTGGTGGGGCCGAAGCTGCCGCTCGCGTACCCCTCCGGCGTCTTGGCCGGGCCCGCGTAGTAGATCACGTGGGCCGCCATGTAGTCGGGCAGGGCCCCCTCCGCCTCGAGGCGCTCGGCCAGCTTCGCGTGCGCGATGTCGCGCGCCACGATGATGGGGCCCGTCAGCGACAGCCGGGTCTTGATCGGGAACTGCGTGAGGATGCCGCAGATGTCTTTCATGGGCTGGTTGAGGTCGATGCTCACCGACTCCGCGGAGGTGGAGGGCCCAGCCGAGGGCTCGCCGATCAGGAAGCGTCCCGGGTTCTTCTCCAGCTCCTCGATGAAGACGCCGTGGTCGGTGATCTTGGCCAACACCTGCCTGTCCGCACTGCAGGAGACGCCAATGCCCACGGGACAGGAGGCGCCGTGACGCGGCATGCGGATCACCCTGACGTCGTGGACGAAATATTTGCCACCGAACTGCGCCCCGATGCCGAGGCCGTGGCACATCGCGAGGACTTTCTCCTCCCACTTGGTGTCGCGGTACGCGCGCCCGTGGTCGTTGCCGGTGGTGGGCAGGTCGTCGAGGTAGCGCGCGGACGCGAGCTTCACGGTCTTCAGGCACAGCTCGGCCGACAGGCCGCCTATGACGATGGCGAGATGGTACGGCGGGCAAGCGGAGGTGCCAAGGGTCACGACCTTCTCCGCTATGAATTCCTCCAGCTTCTTCGGGTTCAGCAGCGCCTTCGTCTGCTGATAGAGGTAGGTCTTGTTGGCAGAGCCGCCACCCTTCGCCATGAACATGAACTTGTACTCGTTGCCCTTCACGGCATACAGGTCGAGCTGGGCGGGCAAGTTGCACTTCGTGTTCTTCTCTGCGAACATGGAGACGGGCGATACCTGAGAATACCGCAGATTCCGCTTGGTGTAAGCGTCGTAGACTCCATGGGACAAATGCTTCTCGTCCTCTTCGTCTGTCCAGACGAACTGGCCCTTCTTGCCCAGGATGATCGCGGTACCGGTGTCCTGGCAGCCTGGCAAGACACCCCTCGCAGCGATCACGGCGTTCTGCAGCAGGTTCGTTGCCGTAAACCTGTCGTTGTCGGATGCCTCTGGGTCAGACATGATCTTGGCCAGCTGCTCGAGGTGCCCGGGCCGCAAGTAATGCTCGACGTCGCCAATGGCCCGCTCCGCGAGCCGTTGGAGCACCCAAGGCTCCACGCTGACGAGGTCGCGCGTGCCACCGCCGGGCACCGGCATCGACGTCACCTTGACCCCGCTCTCCAACTCTGGCAGCCGCGTCCACGGGATGTCCACGGGTGTCGCCTGCTCGAATCCGCCGAACCCCCGCTTGCCGGGGGTGCAGAGGCGTGTCCCCTGGGGCTTGAAACTCGATTCGGGGGGGGGGAGGGGGCGGGGCGGGGGGCGGAGGGGGGGTTCGAGTTCCTGAGCGCATCCTCTGGGCCTCCGAGGCCTCCAACCCTCAAGGCCGTGGCTTCCACAATGCCCAAGAGGCCATCAGAGCTCGCTCCAGCTGGGCTCTCACACGCCGAGGAGGAGTCCTCAAAGACGACCTGGGTGGCCTCAAGACTGCCAAGAGGGCCTCAAAGTCACCCCAAGAGGACTCAAAAACGTAAGAGTCGGCCAACTCCTTGGGGCAAACATATGTTTTGAGCAAATTCGCTATCTTGGTCTTTATAGCATCCAAGACGGCTCAAGATGCCCCCAAGGTCGCTCCAAGACGACACAAACCCCAAGAGGGCCCCAAGACAGCCAAAAAAGAGGGTCCCAAAACAGAGGCGCTCAAGATGGCCCAAGAGAACCCCAACAAGGTCCCAAGAGGGGCCCAAGAGAGGTAACTCGAACTGATATTCCGAGCCCTCCCCTCAACGAGAAACCCCGAGACCGCCAGCAAGCACCCAAGATACTCCCGAGAGACCTGGAGAGGCCCCCAAAGAGGAGGCCCCACAAGGAGGCCCGAGGCTCCCCCAGAGGGCACCAATAAGGCCTCGCTCGTGGACTTCATGTCTCTCCTGGAGGTCAGCGGGATGGCGCAAGCCCTTTGCACAGAGGCTGGAAGGTGAAGTCGTCGTACAGCGGGGGGCCTGCGTCCTCCATGTCCCTCTGCTTGGCGAGCTCCCCGCACGCACAGCTGTCGCACGCACTGCCCTGGCCGCCGGGGGCCGCGGAGCCTCCAGCGGCTCCAGCGGCGACATGGTGGACTTGATCAGCGCCGGTCATGGTCCTACCCCCCAGTGCAAAAAGCAACAGGTATTTTTCTTCACACCTCCCCCCCACCCCCCAAACATGTGTCAATGTTCAATGCGGTGTGCCGATATTATTTTTCCAAGCTTCGCCGGTCGCGCGATCAACATTGACATGGGGGGCCGGGGGGCTCACTAAGCACCAGTTGCTTTTTGCACGAGGTCCTAGGTGCCAGGGCGGGGAGAGAGCGTCAGGAGGCAACTACTGGGAGGTCTTCGCAGGAAGGATTGAGGAGAATTGAGTCCCATTGGGGGGCTACTACGCAAGATTAAGCAGCGGGTTCAGCGGGATTATGAAGCCGGATTAAGCTGGATTAAGCCGTACTCAGCTGAATTAGGCCGGATCAGGCCGGATTTCCAGACCAGGGCAATATCTGAATTCGACCTCCCAAGAGTTGCATCCGAAATAGCGGGGCAGCCGCGCTGACGGGCGTTCGGGGTACTCGGCGCGCGCAGGCGGCGATGTGCTTCTCAGCCAAGGCGGCGTGAGCCAAAATGGCTACGGAAAGCGAGGAGGGAGGGAGGGAGGGAGGGGGGGGGGGGCATAGTCGGAGAGGTGCATCCTCCCTCCCCCGGTGCGATCGTCAGGCATCCCGCGCCGAGCCCCCGCGCCGCAGAAACTAGGCATGGCAGCATGGAGGAGGAAGGAGGGACGGGGAACCTCTCATCCCTCCCCTCCCCTCCTCCGCCACCCCCCCCGTGAGCTGGCCCCCCACATCCTCGCCATCGCTCGGACGTCCATTCCCTGCTTTTTTTTCCAGTTTCGTGCGTGGTTTTTTCGCCAAATGGTCAAGGGTGCTCCTCGATGGTCCTCGCCGAAGGAAAAATGCACACGTCCGAGCGATGCCAAGCATCAGGCTGGAATCGGCGATACGCCGCCTACAGGTCGACAGCGGGCCCACGACAATCCGCACGTTCCTGGGCGTGGTGGGCTATCTGTGATGGGTGGGCGATATAAGGCCGACCGGCCACATCTCGGGGAGCTGTGGTCCTCACCCCCCTAAGGCCGACCGGCCACAACTCGACGATCTCCCGAGATGGGGTGTCGAAATCGATGGGCCCCCCAGGGGGGTTAAGGACCACAATCGACGATCTCCCGAGAGGGGTGTCGAAATCGATGGGCCCCCCAGGGGGGTTCAGGACCACAGCTCCCCTAGTGGTGGCTGGCCTGTAAGGGGGCCGACGCGGAGCAGCGCAGGCAGCCCGCGGCGCCCCACCAGGCCGCCCGAGATCGCCCCGCCCACGGCGCACCCTGCGACCAGCTCTCGCAGTCGTTCTTCATCCACTGGAAAGGCTTCGTCTCCTGCGCGCCGCCCGGCCGCATCCTCGCCTCCCTGCTCCGCTCTCCCGCTGCCTGCTCCGTCCTCCCTCCGCTCTCCTGCTCCCCATCCCCCCCCCCCTCCCCCCCCATCCCCCATCCCCCATCCTCCCCTCCTCCTCCTCCTCCTCTCCTCCTCCTCCTCCCCTCCCCCTCCTCCTCCTCCTCCTCCTTCTCCCCTCCTCCTCCTCCCTCCTCCCTCCTCCTCCTCCTCCTCCTCCTCCTCCTCTTCCACCCTGCCCCGTATACGCATCGTCTCCCCGTTGCACCCGCCCAGACGTCGGGCCAGAAGTCTCGCCTGAGCCTTCCTCACACTGTACGTCTGATCCTGGAGCGTCAACTCTGCGGCCGTTTCCCACGGTAATGCAAGCATGTTTTCTATGTGGCTCCCGGTTTCGCAGATTGGTGACGGGCCCTGTTCAAGATGTTCCTCTTGCTTGACCGCCGCGCACATTCGCCTTAACAGTTCGCGACATGTTCATGGAAGAAGGGCGACTTCTTTTTAACATGTAAGTCTCGCCTTAGCACCGCGCGCATTCGTCTTCCAAGTTTGCAACAACTCAACACATGGAGGGCAAACCGTTTTCGAAATGTGGTTCTCGCCTCAACGCCGCGCTCATTCGTTTTACACGTTTGCAACAAGTTCAAGGGTTGCGGACGAGTCGCTTTCAAACTGTGGTTCGCGCCCTAGCGGCGCGCGCGTTCGTCTAGAATATCGCGACGCTTTCACATCTGGACGGCGGGCCGTTTTCATAGTATGGTTCTCGCCCTAACACCGCGCGCATTCGTGTTGACAGTTTATGACAGAAAAGAGGCTGGAGGGAAGGCCGTTATCGAGGTGTAACTCCCGCCTGAGCGTCGCACATTCGCGCGGGCCGTTTTCAAAACGTCGCCTTGCTGCGCGCGCATGTGTGTCAACAATTTGCAACGGTTAGCAACAATTCCACGGATTGAAAACGGCTCTTGTTGAAGATGTGTTCCTCGTCGAAGCGCCGCACGCGCTCGTCTCAAAACCTGCATTTGCTCCAAGGACGGAGGCGGTTCCTTTTCAACGTGTCGTGCTTGGCTTAACACCGCGCGCATTTGTTAACAACGCTCCCGACCACGATTTAGGATGACGTGAGAGACGCGCGTTGGAACCCACACGCTGTGCATTCCCACAG